TATCTCATACCCAAGATAAATGCTTTCAAACAGCTCTAGAGATTTGTTTTGAATTTGTGGGTTGTTGGATATTCATGAAAAGTTTGAAACTTTTAGGCCAATGGAGTGGAATGTGGGGAGAGAAAGGTACTTGGAGTTGGAGGAGATAGAACAACTCATATTTTGCAAAGTGGTGCAGATTCTCGATAGCTATCCATCCCCATACATGACTTGAAATACTTAAGTGGGTGATTTCCTGGATCACCCCCACTGCAATGGCCAGGATTTAATTATTTTTGAGTTTGGGTCATTCTCAAAGTTTTCAACTTCTTTCTTGGATCACTCGTTTCCTCCATTTTACTCAACACCCAGAAGTTAATGTATGTGAAAGAGGAGAGAGAGAGAGAGAGAGATGTATAGGGATCTTGAATGATGAGTTTGGATTCTTCAAAATGAAACTTCTTGGTGCATGGGTCATTTTGGAATTCTGTTTTCTTTCTTTTAATTTTTAATCGGATTTTCGGTCCTATATATATATATTTATACTTTCTCTCTCTTCAATGGTTTAAACATAGATTAATCATGTTCACGTGTATTTTTGGGTAAATTACAAGTTTCTCAGCTTAATTTTTTGCTCTTTTTGGTGCATGGGTCATTTTGGAATTCTGTTTTCTTTCTTTTAATTTGTAATCGGATTTTCGGTCCTATATATATTTATACTTTCTCTCTCTTCAATGGTTTAAACATAGATTAATCATGTTCACGTGTATTTTTGGGTAAATTACAAGTTTCTCAGCTTAATTTTTTTTCTCTTTTTTATTTTGGTTATTATCATTTTTGACATCTTCTTCGACTACTCAAGACACCAATGAACTTGTCTTAGCGTCCTCTATCAGTTTAGATTCTTTCAAAATCAATTTAAAACTCACAAAACTCAAACCAAAACCTAAAACTTATGAAACCATAAACCACCTCGATCTACAATTTCTACTATCCGATCAACGTAGAATTTAGATATATAACTCAATTCCTTCTTCTCAACTTCCCCATCTTTAGGACTTGGAAGAAAATATTCCAACGTCAAGAAATCAAAGAGAACATAAATTAGAGTTCTTTTTTTCCAAAAAAAAATAAAGAAAGTTTTGGGTATGTTCATAATTTTTTTTATAAAAATGTCTAATCATAAAATCATTAATTTTTTTTACAAAAATGTCTAATCATAACATCACTAAGTATTTAACTATGGAGTGACCAAAACAAGAGTCAATCAAATCTTCAATGAGTAAATTAAAAATTTTAAACTTTAATGACCAAAATAAGAGTGAGAAGAAAGTTAAGTGACGAAATTTGTAATTTATATTTTTCATGTTGCGATAGGTGAAATCCACATCAGCAGTTTAATCGAAATAATTAAGCCAAACCTTTTAAATTCTTTAATTTCTGGACCAAGGATCCTAACTTTCTTCTAGAAGTTCAAAATTCCTGGCAGCAACCAATTCATGGAAATCCTATGCTGTCTCTATTTCTCAATCTAAAGAGATTGAAGAATTGTTTGAAAAAAATTAAAGAATGATTGTTATAGTAACATATCTGCAAGGGTTAAACAGAAGAAAGATGAGCTTGAATATTTCCAACTCTCTACTCTCCAAAGAATAAGCTCAATTGAAACTGAATTAAAACTTTAGAATGAACTTCATTCTCTTGAAGCAGCTGAGAACTTGTTCTTAAAACAGAAAGCAAAAATTCAATGGCTCAAGGAGGGTGATAAATTGTAACATCCCGAAATCCGGGTCAGTGACTAAAATGAGAATTTTTGAAATTTGGTGATAAAAGTAGAATAGTTAAATAGTTCAATGACTTATTGGAAATATAGTTGAAGGGTTTTTAGTAATTATTGAATGAATTAAAGGGTAAAATGGTCAATTGACAAGTAAGATTTTTATTTTCATTTATAAGATAAGGGAACCACGTGGAAAGGGAGAGATTTCTCCAGAGTTCTCTTATTCTCTTTTTATTTTTCTTTCTTCTTCACGTAGAAGCCAAGAGCAAAGGTGAGTTTCTGGTTAATTGATTTCTTGTTGAATTTTAAGTTTGGTTTTGATTATCAAGTGACTCTTAAGCTTAAGAGAGAAGCTTAATTTGTCATAAAACAATAAGAGGAAATGTATAGAAAGGATTAAAGGAATGAAGTGAATAAATGAAATCTTGGTAGAAAGATATTAATGAGATTTCCAAACCAAATTTGACTTGTCAAGGGTATAATTAAGAAGTTAGAAACAATAGAATTGAATTTGGAACATGTTGAAAATTTAGTGTAATTCTTGAATTACATATAGAGAATAGGATTTTGATGTTAAAGAGGGGATTAATGAATAGAAATGAGTTTGAATATGTGTATGTGAGTTAAGAATATAAAAGGGGATGAAATATGAAGAGTTGAGCTAAATAGAAAGTGAATTTCGTGCTCTAACTGGAATTTTTGGGTTGTGTGCATCGATGCACATTCATTGTGTACCGATGCACTCTCAAATAAATGAACATCGAATGCAATGAGTGCATCGATGCATAGGGAGTGCATCGATACACCCCTTAAAGTGGAAACATTGAATGTAAATTGTGTATCGATGCATGGGGTAGTGCATCGATGCACATGTTAAGGGATGCATCGATACACTGTGGAATGTACCGATGCACTTCAATGGGAAATGGAATAAATCTTTCTTTTTAGTCTAAGAATTGATAGATTATAGTATATCAATTGGATACTGATAAGTATTAATACATGATTGTGTAGACATCAATCGAAAGCAAAGTTCGGATAGGTCATCAGAGTAAGATACGCAAGAAAGAGAAAGAGCTTGGTAGTGTATTGGTGATCAGGTGTGTACATGATATGAAGTGTAGTTATGTTAAGGCATTATGACTTGCGAGAAGTCTAATTCTGATATTAGGTAATATGAGTACCCAGATGTAAGCATGTAGTGATATGATGATCAGAGAAAATCGAGTCTATGCATATGTTTAGATGTAATTGCATCTCTATGTTTGTGATCTAGGTGAATATGCCTTGTTGCATTACATGCTGTGAGATATGTGTTGTATGATAATAATCTATGAGATATTGATAATAAGTCATAAGATTTCATACATATGTAATATAAGTTAAAAGATAAGAAATAATATGCTATATGCATATGAGAAAAAGGTATATGTGAACTATATGAAATGGGATAAAGAACTATATGATGTGACCATGTGTGAAAAGGATGAATAATGTGAATTTCATGGAAAAATGCTACGTGAAAGTAAACTACGTGACTATGTGATCATATGAAATGTGATAGAGAGCTATGTGAAAGAACTATGTGATATGAATATGTGAATGTGTAATGAGGTAAAAGATAATGCCCATGTCATGTGTTATGATAGCTATAGGTATAGTTGGCATGCCAAGAGTCGAGGGTCTACGCGGTCCTTCGGGACATATGTGTTATATGTGGTCCTTCGAGACATCTACGTTGTCATTCGGGACAAATTCTACGCGCCCCTAGTGGGAATTATACGAGCTGTGGTGATAGCATAGTGCACAACCTCTATGTATTCACATACATTAAGTTCTCAGTAATGTGTATGGGCTAACCAAAAAGGATAACAATAAAATGTGAGTTGTAATAAGAAATGTGTTACATGTTTTATATGAGGATATATGTGAATGTGTGTTATGGGTTATGGTATTTGTTATGTGATGCACATGAATATATGTTAATATATATATGAATGAATATCAATGACTCATATGATGATGTAAGAACATGTTATAAGATATAAAATATGAAAAATAAGAGATCATATGAACAAGATATAAGAGATAGAAAGAATAATCATATAAGAGTATGAGAAAATATAAATGACGACATGCATGTGTGTATGTAATTGTTACATGAAAAAGTATGTATACAAGTATGACATTGTATTACATGATATGTCCATGCATTTGATAATTTACATATGTATTTATATGTCTCACTAAGTCTATGACTTAGCGTATGAGTGTTTCACACGTAGGTTCAGGAAAGCAGGAAGAGAAGCTAAGAGGAGCAAGACAGGTTAGTTTCTCCTTACTAAAGGGCAAATTAGAACATAAATGAATAACATGTATTTTGTTATATAAAATCTAGTTGGCATGTAGTTAAAAGATTTGTATTAGATACGCTCTGATTAGTTTTGTAAAACCATATGTTTTATATCATAGAAAGTAAATGGTTTTATTAGAAATATCAAACTGAATCTTGGGTATTTTGTAAAAGTAAATGTTTTGAGAAGTCAATGTGACACCTTAGACTCGTATCCGGGTCGAGTACGGGTTGGGGTGTTACATAAATGTTCTAAATTTTTCCACTCAGTCATTGCTTCAAAAAACAAAAGAGACACTATAAGAGTTCTTGAAAATGAACAAGGCAATAAATTAGAATCTTTTGATGAAATAGCCTCTGAAATCATTCTCTACTTCCAAAAACAATTGGGCAAGGCTGATCCCAATGTAAAAAACAGTGATCATCAAACTCTTAAACACCTTCTTCAGATCAATCTGTCTTCGAAAACTACTGCAGAATTGGAAAAAGACATCACTGCAGAGGAAATTAAAAAAGCTTTCTTTAACCAAGGGAATGTTAAGGCACCTGGTCCTGATGGATTTACTCTTTTATTCTTCAAATTCACCTGGTCAGTGGTTGGGGAGGATGTCATTAAAGCTGTTAAATTCTTTTTCAACAATTCCTTTATCCTGTCAGCTTTTAACTCTACAATTATTTCCTTGGTTCCTAAAATCACTAATCCTAGCAAGGTAAAGGATTATAGACCTATCTCTTGCTGCTCAATCATCTATAAAGCTATTATCAAGATTCTTGTTAAAAGACTGACCTACCTACTGCCTGAAATCATAACTCTTAATCAATCAACCTTTGTAAAGGGTAGAAATATAATTGACAATACTCTACTTGCACAAGAACTTGTTAAAGGCTATGGAAGGAAAAATATTTCACCAAGATGTGTTATCAAGATTGATCTTCAGAAAGCTTTTGACTCTATTCATTGGGGGCTTCATCTCTTCAATTCTCAAGGCCATTAATCTTCCTCCTAAGTTTACTACTTGGACTGAAACTTGCTTCACTGAAGCCAGATATTTCATCTCTCTTAATGGTTCTTTAGTTGGTTATTTCAAAGGAGAAAGGGGTCTAAGGCAATGTGATCCTTTATCACCCATCCTGTTTCTTCTAACTATGAATATCCTTTCAAAAATCCTGAACACTGCTGCTGCCAGAGGTATTTTCGGGTATCATCCAAAATGCAAAAAATTTGGTCTCACTCATTTAACATTTGCATATGATCTTCTTATTTTATGTAAAGGAAATTTGGAATATGTTATTGGAGTTACCTCTGTTCTAAATACATTTTATGAAATGTCAGGGTTTCAGCTTAATGTAGCCAAATCTGATCTTTTTGCTGCTGGTATTTCCCCAAGGAAACTTGAATCTCTCTTTATCTCTTCTGGCTTCAAATATGGTCTTCTTCCAGTGAGATATCTTGGGGTTCCTCTAATCACCAGAAAACTAACAGCTAAGGATTGCTCTCCCTTAGTTGACAAGATCATATCAAAAATTCATCAATGGACTGGGAAGCATCTCACCTATGCAGAGAGATTAGAACTTGTTAAAACTGTCCTCCAAAGTTTTGCTAATTTCTGGTGTAGATAATTTCTTCTCCCTCAAGCTGTTATTAATAGGATTAACCAGCTTTGTTCTCATTTTTTATGGAAAGGTACTGACACTACAGTCATTGGTGCAAGAGTAAGCTGGAGTAACATCTGTTGTCCTAAATCAGAATGTGGGTTGGGATTAAAAGATTTCAAAACCTGGAATAAGGTGTACATGATTCGTAATCTTATTGCTGGTGAAAGATCTCTATGGATTGCCTGGATTTATAACTATGTGATTAAAACCAAAGACTTTTCCCAGCTGTCAAATAGTGTTTCTTATAGCTATTGATTTAACAGGCTTTTGAAATTGAAAACTGAGGCTATCCCAAATCTTAATACATGAGTATCTAATTCAAAAGGCATTCGGGAAGAGTTACGAACCAAGCATGCAAAGGTTTTTTGTCACAAACTTGTCTGGTTTCCCCTCCATATTCCCAAATTCAGCATCATCACTTGGCTTGTAGTCTTGGATCGACTTCCTACTAGAGAAAGACTTATTCGTATGGGAATTACAACTGTTGGCTCTTGCATTTTTTTAAAATGATGCCCTTGAAACGAGAAATCACTTGTTTACAAATTGTGCTATGGTTGCTGCTCTTTGGAATAGAATTCTAAATCTTTCTCTCTTGGACAAACCGCTTATGCCATGGGATTTCAAACTTGCTTGGGCTTCTTCGACTTGGAAAGGAAAATCTCTCCTTACCATCATCATGAAGATTGCTTTGAGTTCTTTCATTTACTATGTTTGGGAAGAAAGAAATAGACGTTTATTCCAAGGAAGAGTTAGAACCATTGATGATTTGCTTAACTCTATTAAGGAAATTGTTAGTACTCAACTTAGAAATAGAGATATAAATAGACTTGATTTTGTTAATACGCAACTTAGTATCAATTGGGGTATAGGTTAATCATTCTTTTTTTTAAGTAGCTGTCTTTGATCCTTGATTGGGATGTTTTGTATTGTTTTCTTCTTTGGATAATAAAATCTTACTTATCCAAAATAATAATAATAATAATTAAGCTATTGATCAAAAAACTTTGGTCCCATTTTTTATTACCATCCCTCGAAAGTAAATAATAAGGGAGAAAAATGAGTTTTGGTCGAGAATGGGATCTGCATATTTCCATTATTTGTGAGTTATGTCTAATAATAAACATGTATTTAAGTACAAAAGTGTAATTGAAGATTAATAATTTAACCACCATGATTCAGCTCATGTTCTTCTCCAAGGTTCATCCAACAGTTGTAGACATTCATGTGGATTCGAATAAAAATAATCTTCTTCTTTCGGTCTATCTGGTATCACGACCCGTTTCTTTGGGTTTCCCATCCTATTCGAATGAACTTCCTTCACGGTATCGGAGAACTCGTCCCAGCTTAACAATCCATCATGGTACTGATCTATTAACTTGACTAGAAGTTTTCGGTCTAGTAAGATAGTTTTCTTGAACCCCAAGAATCTGGAACGTGTTGAACAGGCAATTGCAGATAAAAATCGGATCGAATTTGAACATGCCTTTGCTATGATATGAGATGAGAAAAGAATGGTAAAGTATAAATATTAGGCTTGATATGTTACCTCCGATGGCCTTCGATCACTTTGGCCATGTTTCCGTCGTATGTCGGAACGAATATGTCACTTTCTAAGGCGACTAGATAATCCAACGCTGCCATTTGGGATGAGTGGTTTCGGAAGAATTTCAAGTCCGATCGAAATAGAGTCTCCTTTCTGACCTGTTGTGCAAGAGAATTCGATTGTTAGGGGATATATATGTGCATTGTAGCTGCAGAAACTACATTTTACTGACCAAATTAGGAAACTCTTTTGCCAACGGAGCCATCCGTCTCTCGCCACCGTAAATTTCTCCGGCAGCAATGTAAATTTGAACATTGCGGTCAACACCGAGTGCTTTTAACACTAGAGCTGTTTCTTCTGGTGTCAAAGGGCACAATCCTTCTTTCCTTTCATTTCTGAATTTATTATCTTTTCCTTCCACCAGGGATAAGCATACCTAAAAGCACCGGACTCGTCGTAGTTAGATAAGGGATGATAAAATTTATAGTCACGGAGGCGACAAACAAGCTTGCGGGTTACCTCATTCTCGTAATTTCTTCCTCTTCCTCGCTGTTGCAGCCATGAGTGCAGCCCAAAAAGGCCAACATGTCCATTTCATATCTGAGATGAAGCACAAGAAAAGGGCCCTTCTCCCTTAAAATCTTGACAACCTTTCTACCCAATTCTTCAATTTGGGAAGTAAATCTCAGCGCATTGAAATTTACACGGCAGCGCAGCTTCTGAATCTCGAGGGGTAGTCCGTTGTTTGCAAGCCGAGTATCGGTTTTATTCAACTGTACAACTTTGTGCTTTAGCACAAGAGGAAGAATCTGCTAGTAATAACTCCAGAAATTAGCTGCAATTCCAAGACACCAAAGCTTATTCCATCTTCAAGCAATAGGTAACTAACCTGACGAGCATAATAAGCGATACTAGACCAACTAATGGGTTGCGTAGAGAAGAACATTCCTTGATCAACCGTTGCTGAACTCGAGGCGGTAGCTCCTTCAATATCCGGACCTCGTCTCTCAAGGAAGTAATGAAGTGATCAACATCGAAAATGTCCTTGACTCACTGATATCATGAACACCGATTAGACGACCATCTTGAATTTCAGGGCACAATTCTATACTTTTTACTTGTTCAAGAACAAAGATTGAATAAATAGCACGTACCTAGGATCATTCCAGAAAGAGGTTTTATCTAGTTCTGGGACAATAAGCGTGACATTTAGGTATCTGGCAATGACAGCCATGTCGTAAATCTGCAAATTGAACCCGATAACGACATGAAAAGGTTAGCATCTGAATTGATGCCGAGATTAAAAAAAGGAGTATCAACTTACTGCAGCTCGCATTTGATTAAGTCCTCCATTGCAGGAAACCATAAGATAACCATTGTTCTTATATAACCCTGCAAAAAAAAAAACAGTCATCAGATAAGAACAGTAATCATAGACAAGTTGATTGGGAAAAAGATAAAGCCCCATAAAAGCAAAAGATTCACAGGTAAATCAACATATGAAAAGGGGGGGGGGAGATTAAAAAAAGCAAAGTCCTTTTTAAGGACTCAAAGGCAACTTTTGACGAGAATGCCTGTGCACAAGAAAAGAAAATCTTACAGAGAAGCACCAAATATATACCAAAATGAAAATTGTTGAAATCAATGATGGCATACTCAAGAACTTGCAAATTAAATGATATTAGATGGGGAAATGGGATTTCTGCATTTACATAGAAATGAACATTGAAACAAAGAACCTTTGAGAACTTACTTTTGGAGGAAGAATGAGTTTTGGTGGAATAGAAGACAATTCAGAACCAGGTTGAGTGAAACAAAAAGGCCAACCTTTCAACAATCTTAGACCAAACATTTCTCCCAATGTCATCAACTGAGCAAAGCAAGTCCATAACAAAATTGAAGTTAATGCCCTTAACATCCATAACTTCATTCTAGGCCTTGAAACCATTGAATTCTTCAACTTCTGCACTCTCCCAAAAATCTTTATCTTTATTTCCCACTGTTTCTTGTAATCACACTTTCCAGTTGTTTCTTCTACTCTACACATTGTAAATTACCCCTTTTCACCTCAATCTCAAACTCAGCAACAATACTAGAGTTCAAAGTTCTCCCCCACTTGATCCAAAATTCAGGCCTTTAATCAAATAAATGCAAAAAAAAAACCCTCCTTGAACCACTAAACTTCCCTTGTAACTACATTACAAAATAAGACTAAGATTCTTTGGAACACCTACACTATTATTTCACCTAGAAACAACAGCTCCACCTAGCTTATCAAAAGCAAAACTTAAGAAAGGAAAAATAACCCAAAATTTAAACACTACACTTTGTTTAGCTAAAACCTTGTAAACTCTCCACATAACTTAAACAAGCAAGACCCAGAATTCATATGATTCGGTTTCAACTAAACCTCCAAAAGATTGTTTCTTTCGCCTACAACGAAATGCTAAAAATGGGGGGAAAACTCAATTGAGGTTCATGTTTTTTCCCGGTGAAACTTCCGACCAGATCCGGCAAGGTCGGTGCCGGTGAACTGCTCAGAAAGAAACTAAAGTTGTGAGCTTTAGAGAAAGAGAAATGAGAGAGATGGTGACAGTAAAATGTGAGCTTTGAGTTGTGATTTAATAGATGGCCAAAAATAAAAGCCTGCTGCAATTAAGGCATTAATGTGTTGAGATTTCTTTTGCTGTTAATAAGTTTGGAGGATCTTCACTGCTGTTTGTAGACAAACGAGGAAATTAAATGTTAGTAACAAAATTTTAACCTAAAAAAGGTAAACAATTAGCTACAATATTAAACAACAATGTATTGTCAGATTTTCATGACTTTTATTTTCCTAATGTTATTTTATTTAGAAACTAATATGCTTTATCCGATTGCTCTGTTTTGTTTTATACTTTTTTCTTATTGTTTTTAGTTTTTTCCTTTTACAATTACTAAACAATCAGTCTATTTTATGTTTTTTTATAGAAATTTTGTTATTACATTATATTCTTATAAACTTTTAAAATTAAAGTCAAAATCTTTTGATTGAATTGACGAGTTTGACTAATTTCAAACTTTAGAATTAAAACAAAAAAATCATAGGTAGAGTAATATTATATTTGACTTAAAAATGGCGCACGGTTGTGAAACTCTCTCGACGCACATTAACGGGACTAATGGGATCTGAGGATTTCACTGTTTCCCGACGTCGTTTCCGTTTTCCCTTCAGTCATCTCTCCCTTATCTTCTGTCCACCCTCTCTGTTTGTTTGTTGAATGGATTGGCGTAAACTGTTTCAATGTTCTTCAAATCACCAGCTTCAGTACTTTCCCCCTAACGAGAGAAATGAAATCCCGTTGGTTCACCCACCGCCTGAAGTATTCGAGGGCGGAATTTCTGAGTGGAAGTACTCTCTTGTGGGGCAATTTCTGGGATCCGCTCCAAATTTCTCTTCGATTCAAAAGGATTATTGATGGCTTATGGAAGAATCCCTTGAAAGGTTCCAATATCCAGGTCAGTTACGCTGGTCCCAACCTCTACTTGTTTTCCTTTGAATCTGATACTGCTCGTGATTGGGTTATGGAGAACGAGCCTTGGCACTTTTATAATAAAACATTTAATCTTGAGAAAATGGGAACCTAATATGCAAAAACTTCACTTTGATTTATCCAGAATCCCGATTTGGGTTCACTTGTTCAACGTTCCTTTAGAACTGTTTTCTAATGAC